TGTTCTTTGACTCTTATGTTCAAGTGTGTAAGTTGGCCAGGTTTGGTAATGTAAGCTTGCGACCCAAGTGGGGGCGATAAGGTGATGTGAAGAGCGTGTTCGCGATGGGCTCCAGGCCAAGACTTTAGGTGAGGGACACCACATGGTCATGCGATAAACCACGGGCACGGGTGCGCCTGAGGAGGCGGTAAATTACCTCAAATGGCCATTGGGGGAGACGGGAGATGAGATTTCTTGCTGGCTCGGTGGAGTAGGTGTAAGTTGTATTTTATGCAATTAATGAATGTTCAATTTTGTACTTCCACAAAATTAAAGAAAAAAAAAAAACTTCGTACTTCCACACTAACAAAAGTTTCATAGATTGATCCCACTTACCGTCCTTCATTTTGAGAAGGGCTTATAAGTAGGGGTGTTTACAATTGTGATTTAGTTTATATTTTAATATTTTTAAATTAATCTAATTTAATTAATTAGTAAAATTTTTAAATTAATTTAATTTATTATTATATGATAATCAAATTAATATAACTTAAATTGGATTGATATGATTTGGTTGGATTGATTGGTTTTTAAAATTATTAAATGTATAAAATAATATAAAAAAATTTTAACATTAAATAGAAGAAATAAATATTCATCCATCTTATTTTTTAAAAATTAAGAGGTAAGACTTAATCAAACAAAGTTGTTCTAGCCCGTTCTCATGTCCCTTAGTTTTCTTTTCTTTTCTTTTTTTCTTGGGCAGCCCCTTTTCATCTTGTTTTGATGGAGTAGAAATGACAACACAAAAAAGCAAGGGAACCACAGCCCCAAGTGCACAAAAAGTTCTCTTCCTCGATGAGTCGAAGGAACTCCCCAAAAATGCGAGAAGTCCCTGCCTCCTCCTTGTCAATTGATTTGAAGACGGTGAAAAACTAGTTGAAGGAACCCCAAACAATTGACTCTTTCCTGCACCCCTCAAGTGCCCATATAATTAATCGAGGGAAGAATAGTGAAATCCAAGAGGGGAAGAGGGAAATCAATCGAGGGAAGACAGGAGATTTGAGAAATTAAGGCTGCCCATGAAAA